ATCGTCAAAATAGTCAAGATAGTCAAAAGAGTTGAAATAGTCCAGATGGTCAAAGCAGTTAAAATAGTCAAGATAGTCAAGATAGTCAAGATCGTCAAAGCAGTTAAAATAGTCAGGATAGTCAAAACGGTCGAAATAATCAAAATAGCCAAGATCCTCAAAATAGTGAAAATAGTCTAAACAGTCAAGAGAGTGAAAATAGTGAAAGTGCTCAAAGTGGTTAAAATAGTGAGAACAGTGAAAATATTCGAGATCGTCAAAATAGTCAAGATTGTCCAAACAGTCAAAATAAAGAAGACCGTCAAAATCGTCAAAAAAGATCGTCAGATCAGTGAAAGTAGTCAAGATCGTCAAAGCAGTCAAAATAGTTAACATTGTCAAAATAGCCTAGATCCTCAAAACAGTCAACACAGTGAAGATCGTCAAAACATTGAGAATAGTCAAGATAGCTAAGAAGGTCAGAACAATTAAAATAGGCAAGCTGTCAACATCGCCATAACAGCGAAAGTGGTAGAGATCGTGAAAACAGGGAAAATAGTGAAAGATAGTGAAGATCTTCAAAGCACTCAAATTAGTCAAGATCGTCAAAATAGTCAAAATAGTTAAAGGGGTAGAAATAGTCAAGATCGACAAAGTAGTCAAAATAGTCAAGATAGTCAAGATCGTTAAAGTCGCAAAAATAGTCAGAATCGTGAAAGTGGTTAAAAGAGACAAAACGATCAAAGTCGTCAAGATCTCGAGAACAGTGAAAATAGTCAAAGTTGTGAAAACAGTCCAACTAGTCAAGGTGGCCAATATCGTCAAAGCAGTTGAAATAGCGAAGATCGTCGAAACAGTCCAAATAGTGAAAACTGTCAAAATAGAAAAGATCGTGAGAATAGTCGAAGGAGTCAAATTAGTCAAGATCGGCAAAGCAATCAGAATTGTCAAGATCGTGAAAGGCCTGAAAATACTCAAGATAGTCGAAATAGTCAAAATAATCAAGATCGTGAAATCAGTGAAAGTAGTCAGGATCGTCAAAACAGTCAAAGTAGTCAATACAGTGGGAATGGTGAAGACAGTGTACATCGTCAAAGCACTCAAAATAGTCGAGATGGTCAAAATAGTAAAAATAGTTAAAGGGGACGAAATAGTCAAGATCGACAAAGTAGTCAAAACAGTCAAGATGGTCAAGATCGTCAAAATAGTCTGAACAGTAGAAATAGTCAAAATGTCGTCAAAATAGTCAAGATAGTCAAAACAGTCAACATAGTGAAAAACCCGGAAAGTGGTCCGGATCGTCAAAATAGTTAAAGGGGTAGAAATAGTCAAGACAGTGTAGATCGTCAAAGCACTCACAATAGTCAAGGTCGTCAAAATAGTCTAAACAGTCAAAATAGACGAGATCGTCAAAATATTTTTTTTGACTATCTATTTCTACGATCTCGTCTATGCTGAAAGTTTATTTTGTTATTATGGTAAATTTTTCGTTTTTTCTTTGTGTTTTTCACCTTCCTTTTTTGGAATACCTTCTGGATAGATGATTTAGTTTAGGGTTTAAGTGTTTGATAGCTAAAGCGTCTTTTAGTAGTAATCGATAACGATTATTATCAGTGAATAGTCTTTTCCAATTAGTCCAGTCTATTGTATGATGATTTTCAATTTGATGTTTGGCTACGATTGTTTTAAGTTTTTGATTGAGATATAATTTAGGTATTGGTGGTGGTAGATCTGTTTCTCATGATTTTGTCGTTGGTGATATTGAATTTATTTTAATGCCAAGATCGTTTGTGTCGAAGTGTATTATTTCTGGATCATTGATTATATCAAGGAGTTTGTTTTTCAATGCTGTATTTTGAATGAAAATATTATTATTATTACTAGTTATGGTGGATGGCGGTAAGGGTGAGGTTGGCAGATGTGATGACGTTATGTCAGTTGATGCACCATGCTCTTTAAACCGTCTAATAGTTTGTCGTATGGTTTTTCCAATGTAAGTATCTGAACAATTTTTACATTGTAAATGATAGACTACATCAGACTGCAATTGAAGTGATATGGGATCTTTTATTTGATAATTACTTTTGATTGCGGGTGGCGGTCTTAGGACAGCACGCAGTGCTTTCTGTGGATCATATTGTTTTGTGAATGTACGTAATTTATTAATAAATGCATAGCTGGGTTGACCAGTATATAACCAAGTTTTGAATCTACTCATTTTTCACTCTAATTTTTCTATTGAGTTACTATTAATAATGACTTCTAGTGAACTCGAAAAGTCGATTCATTTTAATAAACAAAATATAGCCGTTGTAAAACACTTACCAGTTTCTCATCTGCCCCTTACAAGAAATAATTTTGCTGAGTATTTTGACTATTTTGACGATCTTGACTTTTTCAAATGTTTAGACTATTTTGAGATCCTGACTATTTTGACTGCGTTGATGATCTTGACTACTTTGACTGTTTCCAAAGCAGTTTCCAAAGCATCATACACGACAACGAAACCACAGTGCACCGAGAGTGGCTGCCTCGGGATTTACAAACATGCTTCTCTCACATGAGAATATAGAAAAAGCCATCCACCTAGCTTTCAATCATGCTTATACTCTACTCTCGGATTCGGATGTACACGTTGCTTCGAAAACCAAAAACCAAACTACATTGGAGCAAGTCAGTTCATTTGTTTCGATCCAATCCAAACGGAAACCAATCAAGTCCTCATCTGATGATACACGAAAAGACCCATCCGAGGAAGAACCGATCAGTAGCTCGTAGTCCGATGACGGCTCTTCCACAGAATCAAGCGAAGACACAATTCGATCGGAGAGGATACCAATGATACTTCTTCTTGCAATGGCAATAACAAGTCGAACTTTCACGGAATGAGAGTCTTCGATAGCATCCCTACTGCTCTCTCTCTAATTTGTATTTCAGTATTGTGATAGATGGACGTAGAAAATATGTTCATAAACAAACTGCCTGTTGGCTTTTGACAGATACTAAAACACATCTGTCTTCTGATAGACTCGAACGAATTCAACAGTCGAGTGACTGAACAAAGCCAGTATTCCCCGAAGACCTGACGACTAAACATCAACCTATTCTGTCTGACTTTTCTCAATTTCTTTCTATATTTTCACTTTGTTCAAATAAAATAAGATTAAATCAAACTGATCTGTTGCTCCAGTGGAATAGAAATCCATCTTATTCAATGGCGTTTCTATGCGTCTGACAGCAACCGATGTTTTCTTACCCTAAAAGTCTCATTATTTCTGATTTCTTGATAGGAATCCCGCGAGTCTCAAGAGTACGATATGAATCCCGTGAATCCCAAGAGTACAATGCGTATCTAGACAATACCAAGGATCCCGGAGTACACAATCCGCTATTTTCCCCTTGCTTCATCGTCTTCATGTTTTTTTAGGGGCGTGTTTACATAGCTCATACCGTGCGAAGAAGCGTTTCTAATCGTGAGAGCAGATTGGTTAGTACGTGCTGAAGCAAATCGTTTGAAAGTTGAAGTCCGTCGTCGATCCGGCACACGGTGAAGAAAGGGCGGACAATTTTGCATAGTTTTTTCAACGCGTTGACATCACTGTGTCCCGGAGGACAATTTCTTTTCTAGAGCTAAACTCTGTCGAAGTGTGAAGGAGGAAAAGTCAATGGCGAAAAAGTCGTCATTTCCATCAAACGGGATTTTGGGTGCTTTTATTTGGATCTTCATATCTCAGCCAAAGTTTGACCTCTAGATCTAAAAATTTGACTGGATACCTAAAACACTTTGCTCTACAAGACAGGATCATTTTAAAGAGAATCTGAGACTATCGATTGAGCAGCTATATAAGAAATCCGATGTGGCTCTCATGCAACGACTCCTAGTTTCACCTACATGCATATGATACAGGGTGGGTGTAGATATGAGGATGTCTCTTCTCTGCTCCCCACACCCTCAAGATGTCTGTTACGGTCTGTGGTATATGTGGGAAGAGGTGAAAGTGGAATCACTCTCCTCACTATATAACTATGTATCAATTGTGATACATAAGTATATATTGGAAAAAAAATCTTCATGGATCGCATCACATTCAACTATGCTAGTCGAGCGACCGCCCTCGTACCTCGCTCCTCCGCGATTCTGCAGTTCAAAATGCTGTATTGGATTAAAGTACGAAGGAAAGAGATATGAACTATTGTTCCAAAATTTCTCCAAATAGTATATGAGTCGGGTCAGTATTAGGTCGACACATGTTCATTATATCGAGAAGCTGTTCATAGAAAGTGTTTGATGAGATTCAGAATGTTTGAGAATTGTTTTTGAAGAAGACCTAATTTTCGTTGTCCTCCTCATCTAATTCCGATTCTGCATTATCCATATCATCATCAGGCTTTTGTCGACAAAACTTCAGTAGTTCTTCAAATTCTGGAGGTTGGATGGCTCTCGAATGATGTGCTTGCGCTTGGCAGAAACCGTCAAATTGCCGCATCATGTCGATGTGAAATTTCTCAGCCAATGCATTCTGATTGCGAAGTGGTGGTGGTGGTGCACTTGGTGGATTGATTTGCATATTTCTCTGTCCAAAATGGTCAGCACAGACTTTAATCATTATATCATTTTTAGCTTGTGTCGACAGATTGTCATAGTCATGATGGTTGCTGGTGATATGATTGTTTACTACTCGATTGCAATTGTTGAGAATACTCTCGAGTTCAACTGCCGTTGGTCGACAACTCGGTGTACGGTTCGTACATCGTGCAATGAGTCCACTACATATAGGACTTCTTCTTGCAAGCCTGATTTGTCTTTGCTGTGGATTAAAGCAATGAAATGTTTCAGTGAACAGCTCATTGAGTGTTAAACCGTATGTGAACACATCGAGCGATTGATTATATTGACCGCTGCAAGAAAAAGTGGGAAAATGTTCAAAAATCAAATAATTTAGTCTTTATTCTACATAGGGCGCAATTTAAATCGTCTAAGCGAAATAATTATGTTTTTTGTATAGTGGAATTGGATCTGACGATATTTTGACACATTATTTAGGACGAGAAAAATCCTACCGTTATGATGATCTTCTTTTAACTTGAAATAGACTGGGGCGAAATTTGCAAAGTTAGGGACAGACTTAAATTAATTGCTCCAATGTAGTTACCTGTAAAATTCGGGTGGCATAAATGCAGCACAACCAAGAAGCGTTTGCCTCTCTGCCGGATTGAATACACGAGAAATACCCATGTCGCCAATTTTAGCCCAAAGATTGCTTGAAACAAGAATATTGTCTGGTCGAATGTCACGATGAATCCACCCGTGACGGTGCAGTTTACGCATACCACTTACAATATGACATGCCATGTTGAGTTTGCGTCGGAGTGAAATAACTTGGTTTGAATGTTCGATGACACTTTTAAGGCTGCCACGTCCCATCAATTCCATAATGAGACACAATTCTCTTACAAGGTTCTGTTGTCGCTCGCCATAGCCAAACAGTTTTATAATATAGGCGCCCTCGAGTTCGGTATAGGCGGCTAGTTCCTGTCGAAATGACTCTTCTAATTGTCGATTTTCTCCGTTGATAGTAGTAATTTTACACGCCACTTCACGGTTTTTCGGTAGCCATATAGCCTTGTGCACTTGTCCTAAATAAAGGTAACTTAGAAATCATTTTTATGACAGAACTGCTCCATTAGCAACTCAGTCGCTGTAACTGTGCTTAGACTCGATCTTTAGTTCACATCGAAATGAAGCATGATGAGGCCAAAACGTGTTTTATCTATAAGGCTTTGTTTTCCGGAGTGATGGCCATTTTACGACGAATGAAACCTTTAGAACACTCTAAGAGCCATATGAAAAGTATTTAGGAGAAAAATCTCAGGTCAAATGACGTTATCAGAATTTGTGGTCATCTAGGTCTCATTCACAGTGAAACGCTGATAACTTCGATCGACTGATGCTTAGAGACAAAAACATATTTTGACGTGTATTCATACTTCATTAAGGTATACTTAGGATGAAATAATGCAGTCAAACTACAAATATCGTTTGCGACTGTTCCCTCATGAGAGATAATAATATCTCCTCACCAAATGCACCCTTGCCAAGTGCATCGCCCAAACGAAAATCATTCATATTGATCTTGTTTAAAATTTGTGGACTTGTGAGAATCATGGGATGTGTATTCTCATGCTTTCCAGTAGCTACTCGCATATCGAGACAATTTGCACATAGATCATAATCACAGCATGTGTCACATTTGAAACGAGCACCTACAAGCGGTTTACGACATCCGTCACAACGAGCATTATGCTGTTTGCCAGCAAAGTACTGTTTCATCTTGGACAGGGTAATGTCCCTGTCAGATATCATTTGACCGAAAAGTTCTTTCGGAATTTTGAAATGTACCATAGCGTGACCAGTCGTATGCTGCTTATTTTGACGGCCTTTCTCGAAACAGGGACCACATAAATCGTAACCGGCACATTCCAAGCACTTGTATCGATCACCGCGGATTGGATGTGAATGACAGTTGCTGCATGAAACATCATGTGTCTCTTCATTCGAGACGTTGCCAATGTTATTCTTATTGATGTGTGCTCCTGCCATGTTGCTCTATTCGCTCATCGAACTAGAATTAAAAATATTTTTTTGCTCCGTATTTGTATATGATGAACACAGCTGTCCAATATCATACTTTTCAAATCTAAAATAACAAAATAACTGTAGCGAGAAAAGGACGAGCACAACGATGGTAGATCTTATCGACGAAAACAAGATCGACGAGGACTATGTATTTCTAAGAAATACAACATTTGGTAGAGAATTTAGAGGAAATCTTTGTAAAAAAGAAAGTCTGAACAAACGATTACCAAAAGAGACACCAGTGATGCTGCGCACCCGATATAACATAGAGAGTATCAGTCGCTATTTATATACTTGGCCTGTACTAACTCTCTGAGACCTAAACTGAATCATTTGAGATGAAAAGACTACTAGTTTAAGTCACTCTCAACTCATGATTTACCACAATGAGTTTCTGAGTGACACCACAGAGACCTGTGTTGGACATGTTAGGGGGAAATAAAACATGCTCAACTTTGAAAGAAAATATATCTACCACTACTGAGTATTCTTGTTGATACGCTTCGACTGTAGCAAGTATTGGTTTACCATTAATTATGTAATTCGATACAAGATGATCGCTGATGATGCGAGAGAGTATCCTCAGATGAATGTCTGCTTAAATGCGTAAAAGGTGAGTGTATAAATATAGAGTCAACGGTAGGAGAGAGCAAAGAACAGAATACAGTCCGACGAGCTGCGTGATCACATCAAAGCAAGAGAGACGCACAATATTACAAATATTTCAATGATTTTCTCTTCAATCAAGCTATAGAGTCAGTTGGGGGAAATCGGATCAATTTTGGAAAATTCCGTATTGTTTTGGTAATAACTCGGTCATTTTT